GTGAGGTTCAGTATGCTTCCTAGTGCAAGAGCCTAGGGGGTTAGGGTTAATGAACTTGTAACTTATTGGGCCGTGCAAAGATGCACAATCTACGAAGTCAGTTATTGACAAGGCAGTGAGGTTCCTAGAAAAGATACTGTTAAGACAAAAAGGTGGATTTTGAAGAGGTTTCTCAGTCGGAACCTGCAGAATTGAATATTTAATTATATTTATGAGGTGTAGTAGAACAAATACAGCATGGTTTATTTTGGGAAATAGTGGGAATTACTAGTCTCAAGGTGTAGGTCAGCTTGACAACCTCCCGGCATGAAGCAGGAGAAGGGTACAGTAGTCAACCTGACCTACATTTTGGAGAGGGACCAGTAATTCCAACTGCTTCCTCTAAAACTATGCAGTATTCACTCTGCCAGTAGTGTGTTTGGTGAACTTGCTATTTGAGAGAAGTCCAAGATAAAACAAAGAAACATGAGCCCCCTCCCATAATACAATTTTGTATAGCCTTTTAGGTGTTGGATCTTGAAGGAATGAGTACATCGTGTTTCCATTCTTTATACATAGTATATGACTATTATTAGTATCCCCACTCAGCCAAACCAACAGTTTACTGCCTCTTGGAGTTCATTGGGCTGTGTACTGATACAGAAAGTGGACTGTTGAATTTGGTGGGTTGAGTACTAACGTGTATACCCCACCCAGCAGTGAAAGGGTGTTGGAATTTGACAGGTTGAGTCAGCGTTCTAGAAAAAATGCTGATGGGGATAGGGTTTTGAGGTAGGCTTAAAGGATACATTAATCTTTTCTTCAAAACAAAATCACACTATGCAGTTTTTGAAAAAGAATTGGTGGTTGGTAAAGCACTAGACGAGTGTTATAGCCAGCCACATTTTAGTGCTGTGCAATCAGGACAATTTAGTAATGGCGAACGGAGGGAGCAAAGCGACCGGAGTCTCGCGGGTCACAGCCAGGGGTCCAGGGGCCCACTTAAGGGGACTCTGAATCATTTTTTTCAGTGAGTTTTTCTTTCTAATTGATTAAGAGTTCAATTTTTTTAAATACTTCCAGGTAAAATATGAAATTTACATAGTGACTAATTGTGACTATTTCTGAGATTTTTTACAATTTTTGTGCCGGTTGGTGGGCTGTTTCATCAAGCTTTGTGCCTGACAGTAGAATGCTGTAGTGGAGATCCCCCACCAGCATAGCTACAACACTGAACTAGATTAACATGCATCATTTGACATTTTGACGACAGCTTTATCTTCACACATCTTTCATTCCAAAACTTATCCACTTCAGGTCAACAAAATATGATCAGTATTTGCAGTTTTGCACTCTGGGAATTAAACCTAAAATAAACAAGTAGGTAGAAAATTATACTTGTAATTTTTGTATGTTTGTCTGCTTTTGTCTTTTTCTGCCTCTTTTCTTTAGTAGGTTCCAGTTAATTGTGCCCGTTTACATGTATTCCAAACAACATTTTCATTAAAATCTTAATATTTCTTTGTTTCAAGTCAGTCATGAAATCTTGAAGAGATTTTACAGCAAAAAAAAAATCATCACTGAAAATATGTTGTCGCATATCTGATGAACCGACAAATACAAAATATCACTGTTTTTGAGAAAAACAAATTTTCAGTTGAGTAGTTATTGCATGCTTGTTTTCGATATTTAATTCAACCCTCATTTGATCTCTGTGTATAAAAGATACAATATCGGTCTTTGAAATCATTTCCTAATTTGTATTTTGGCTCTATAAGCAATACTTTGTTTGAATACTGCTGTCAAACCTATTCGTCAGTTCGTGAGATAAAATCTGTAAATCACCAGAACTGTCGATTTTTCAGTTCATCAGATATGTCTTCAATACATTCACTACTTACGAGGTCAGTAGAAACACTCCCTCCTTGATCCGACTCAAGGCATTTTGAGCCCCGGGTTTACGTGCAAACTCAACAATTCCTTCTGATGTCGGTCGACCACGATCATCCACAATAACCACTGCTCTTTCAACAACACCAAACTGAGAAAACGCTTGTTCCAGAAGCTCATTGGAGACACTTGATGGGATGTTCTTTACTTTCAAGGCTGCGCCATGAGTGGCAAAACGAACTCGCAGCATTCTGTTCTTTCTCGTTGTGCCATCTAGCTCTGCCTTGGCTGCCTCAGCATTATACCTTGTATCCTAAAAGTGTGAAAAAATCTTAATTAGGAAAGATTGTTTTTGAGGTACATGTATAATTGCAGAATAACTTCTCTGATCCCCATAACAGTCCAGTTGACCTTGGATTCTACTATCGCTAGACCATGTCTTTATGTTAAAAAAGCTGATTTATATACAGGATTGCTTGATATAAGTCAATTCATTCAAATCAACATTTAAAACACTAAACAGTACATTATGTTAACAAAGAAAAAAGGAGCAATTTTGTTTGACGTTTGAATGGAAATCATGGGTTCTTTTCAAAAATGACCACTTACAAACTCTGCAAAATCTCTTCAAGAACGAGGGTGTCTGTTTTTTATAAGCAGCACATTTAACCACGAAAAAATAAAACAAACAATACCAGCCACAAAGTGATAATACATCTTTCCATTGGAACAAATCCGATTTATCACAAGGATTCAATTCCTTTTCCAAACAAGTTCTCTATTATAGAAGGCAGGCAAACTTATTTTCATTATTGAAAATGCATTTACCTGATGACTGCAACCTCACACTTTTTTTTGTTCTACACGGTCTTAAGATGGCAATAATTTTCTTCCTGGTGAGAAAAGGTGATTTCCCTGCAAATAGCGACCTGCAGATTACCTCTCAGGGCAAAGATCTAAATATTTTCCCCACTCTGATGCACGTTCCTCCAGTTCTGCACGAGGATTACATTAATCCAACAATAGGCCCGTTCTCACAGGGTAGGACGCCCACCTAAGGCGAGTGCTCAGCAGAGGACATGAGCTCACTAGAAGTTCCATTGTGTGCTTCCTTAGCTAACCCTTCTATGCTGAAGTCACTCTTTGGGTCACTTGGTAAACACCTCAAAGAAGCACAGCTGTGTGGTGTTGTGCACTACACCAACTGTCCCTCCAAGCAATATCAGATTGCACTTTTGTGCTGCCCAACAACTGTGCTTCACTGTTTCATGTGCATAATTGTGCAGTAAATCAAATGCTGCGCAAAGGACTGCACAAAAGACGCTGGATCATTTTGTGCTGGCAACCTATTGTGTACACACTGAACATGTGCATGTTTGTGTTCCATATAGAAAACACATGCAAGATAGTGACCGTGGGCACTTGTGCATAATTGTGCTCTAATTAGTGATGCAAATAACCCATTTCCACTGCCTGCATGTATGCCAATAATGGCAGAGGTATGCAAAATATGGCAAGTTTATTACGAGGGGAAACACATACATAGCAGGTACAGGCCGGCCAGGGCAAGTCAGTTTCGTGTTGAATACCGTTCAACTCTGGCAAATTCCATAGTAAAGGCTTTATGATATCAAACTCATTCGCAGGTATAAACAAGTCTTGTAACTACCAGAAAGTGGACTACGCTACCGTAATAATTTTCAGAGTATATACGGGTAAGTTGATTCTCGCACTGAAAAATGTCCCGATGGCTTATGCCAAAGATCTTACAGTACCGTGAAGCAGCAGCATTCTAATTCAATCTAAAGGGGGAAAAAAAATCAAGTATGATACCCGAGTCTGTGTACCACCAAAATTATACACTTTCTGTGAAAATTCTCCGTGTTTTATGTTTCTTTTGGCACACACTGTTCTGACACATCTATACACAAGAGTCCTTCACTGATGTAAGTTTGATGAAGATCCAAAGTTGTTTGGGAACTTAAGTTGATGCCAGGAAAACAAAGGGGGTTTTGGTCAGAAGAAGAAAAAAATACAAGCTGTGTGTCTGTCACAAGGACAGAACACAGGGCTTTTCTGGTTTTTTTGTTGTTCTGAAGAAAAGTGCCTTGTTGGCATTTCATCAATTTTATTAAAATATTCACATTCAGACTTTACATATACAGGTTTGAACAAAAAAGACATACATGCATGCTTCAGGAGATACAGTGCTTTAAAAACTGCACCTTTAATGTCAAATGACTTGTCATTTGATGACACTCATCTAACGCACTCCTCTTTTGAGATATCTACAAGGTTTGAACCCCATCTAACATGTACTTCACAAGATATAGAGCTTGGAAGAGTGCACCTTTAATGTCATGTGACTTGTCACATGATGATGTTATCACATAAGGTCAATCTCCGTTAATTTTAAACCTTCGCTTCGTAACTATCTGCAAGGTTTCAACCCAATCAGACATGCACAAAATACAATACAAAACATTAATGTTATCGCGGAAAAAGTACAGACTAGAGATTTTAAACATTTGTCCCTTTTGGCGTTCCATACAATGTGATCTTACTTCAGCACCATGTGCTTGGTAATTTTCCAACTCCTGAATATATGCCATATGCACTCGTTGCTGTCTATGTTACAGGCACAAATTGCACATCCACACACAGCAGCCAATGCACAGTATGCGAATGGATTTTCGAGTTCGCAAATATTATAATAGGCCTCTGCACGTTCCCCTCTATAATGCTCAGAAAATGATTTCCGTAGCACATCTCTGAGAACTACATGTACATGTACATAAAGTCTGCTGATTATTATAGTTTCAGGGAAGTTACAGTACAAAGTTTTGAAGATTTATTGGATGAATCAATATTGGAAAACCCTGTTTCGACGTATTTCTGCTAGTTCCGCTAGTACATTGTGTTTGTCAGCCTGTGTTCAGCAAAGTTGTAAGTTTTGGCTGCATACATGCACTTTTCACAAAAACATTCAGCCCTCAGTTTCTACCTATTGCAAACTACTGTATATGTACTTACATGCAGGTCAATATGTCCTCCAATAGTATTATGTAACTATGTGTTTTTAATTTACATGTATTGTAATTTATCTTATTACAGCCTTTAATTACCACCCTTTCATGTGATGTGTAATTTTCACAACCTGATACCACATTTTGCTTTGATTTGGTTAATTCCAGATTAAACCTACATGTAGTTACGTTCCACAAGGTGGAACCTTGGTTCCACCTTGGTTCCCCATAGAAATATGCACGTTTTCACCGGGACCACAGATTTGTGCTTGTTGTAATTGGAATTTGGTTACAATCGATTTCGTAATAAGAGTCGACTGCCGCGTCGCAGAGTTTTCTGAAAATCACCTTACCATTGCACACGCGCAATGTTAGGGCGCAGCTAAAAGGAGCAGCCACTGGTGACCCGAACGTAATCATTACAATAAAAACAAATGGACAGATAAATTATAATAGTTATTAAGTTTAGAGGGTTTTGTGACGTTAAAAACCCTTTTTTATGCTGGCCCCAAGTGTTGTTTGCAGTTTGCCTTTGAATGCCAGCATCGCCGCTGTATAAGTTAATACCGCGGTATTCTTTTCATGCATACCGCGGTATCGAAAAAGGCAATACCGCCCAAGCCCTTATGAATGGTTTAGGTTTAGTTGTCAAACCCTGTTTGACTTTAATAACTTTGGATCGCTAATTTTATGGGAGATTACACTGCCAAGGCTTCTGGGATTTGGGGGAATTTCCAAAAAGCTGGCACCATGGGAATTTTAAATGCTTCAACAATTACTTGCATTTTGAGTTTTTCATGGTAGAGGAAGAATTAATGTCAGGCTAAGGGCTCCATTGTTTAGGTTTTTTCAGTTCTGAGCAAATTTTTGTAATATGTGACAAAGTAGGCCTACTTTTTCCACCACAGTTTCCTTCAATTTTTGAAGATTAAACGGCGAAGTTGGTCCAGCGGAAGATTTTTTTGGAAGACATACATACTCTAAGGAATGATTTTCTAATTTGTGTCGATTCTTCAGATATTGCATTTGAGTTTCCAATAAGAAATACAGGGTAATAATCAGAGACAAGAAATTTCATTGCAAGGAATTTGGCGTTTGGGAAAAACTCTGATGTACATGTTGTTTTCATCGTGCAAAATGTGCAAAATCGTGCAAAATGACGAATGGGTCGGATTACTGCACGCCATGCATGGCGCCACTATGATTCTGCAAAGCATGTGGGCCAAGTCTCGGCATGGACTTCAATCTTTGGCAATGAAAATAATGTCTTGCGGTTTAAGTTCCTTTATTTGGTATAAACCACACATTTCTTCAAAAATCAACGGATCATTTTAAACGGTAGTCTTTTGGAATCGCTGGACTGTACCTGGAATCGGATCTCAAGGTAATGGAATCGGCAGTGGTGTGGATTCGATTCCTCAAAAAAGTGGAATCACAACTCCAATTCCCAATTTGGAATCGATCCCGTCCGATTCCAGCATGGATTCACCCAAGCCTAATCTAAAGGAGAGTAGTTGGAATTATTGGGTCTAGTATCCAAAGCAACATAAATGTTCATTATGCGAATACTCTGTGCCTGTTTTTGTCATGTGACGTACGGCCAAAGAGAATGCAGATGTGTGTGGATCATCGAGGGAAGACAAGTAAGGATGGTAGAAAAAACTCTTTTTTGGCCAGTAATATAAGACAAAAGCTACAAAATACAATCATGCACGGTAGTTCCATATGGGTTACTGGGGGCCAGTCTACTGGACTCCCTCCGTAATCCTTGGCCCCACAGTGCTCCATTCAAGAAGTAGAGAGTCAGCGAAAATGCCTTCTATGAAACCCCTTTTGCATGCATGGATCACTCACCCCATCAATACTCTGATGTATTACTCTGGGCGATTTCTAGTTTGTAGAAGTCTGTGAAATTATAGTTTCGATTTGGGCCATTTGTTTACTACAGCCATCAATTACCAATCACTGGCTGATGCCAAACACAGTCGGGATCTGTTTGGCCTGGGAACCAAACAGCGTCATTACATAGATCAGAACATGACATTGCCAATGAACGTTGATGAATGATGAAATGAAATGCATATGATGCTTGGGATCAATGAACTTGTTGCCAGACACAGTGTAGCTTGTGGAGCGCACACCATTCGCTTGTCCAATTCCCATCCCACACGATGACATGCACTCATGAAAATACCCGACGGCTGTTGTTTTTATTGCATTCACTACATTCACATATACACACAAGACTTCATTACAAGTACAGTCACTGATAAGACAGCATTTCGGATCACCGTCTCTAAACGCTGTCTGGTTCCCAGACCAAACAGATCTCAGCTATGTTTGGCATCAGCGATCGGGAGTTAGTCGCTGTAGTACATGTAAATGAATGGCCCAAATCAAAACCAAAATTTCACAAATTGGAAATCATCAAAACCAAAATTTCACAAATTGGAAATCATCCAAAGTAATACATCAGAGTACTGATGGGGTGATTGATCTACACATGCAAAAGGGGTTTTATAGAAGGTACATGTATTTTTGCAGAGTCTCCACTTTTTGAATGGACAGCTGAGGGGCCCACGATACAGAGGGAGTCCTGTAGACTGGCCACTAGCCCCACTAGTGGACGCGGACTCTCACTCCTGCTCCATCCTTAGCCACACATCCATACACGCAATTTGCGTGTCAGTACAATGAAAAAGTTTAACGCACCATCTTATAATCATAGGCGCAATTTTTTTTTACACAGAAATGATTCTAAGCCGCTCCGCCTTCTTAGAGCCATTTATTGAATGATTTCACTTGTGTTGTTCTGGTATTTTCCAGTCTTTTTGCCTTCACCAATTCAATCTCACAGGCTCACTCTCACAGTCGCCATCTTTAAAATAAAGTCATTGAACATCATGTCACTTGACCCCTCGTTGTTTCGACGGCTGTTCCATGTCAAGACATATCTAATACACATACTGAGCGATAAGATACTACATGCACTAATGGGCTCTTCCAAAACTTGGGTAGCAATTTTGAGATGTCTCGACATGAAACAGCCGTCAAGACGATGAGGGGTCAAGTGACGTAATGTTCAATGACCTTATTTTAAAGATGGCGACTGTGAGAGCGAGCCTGTGAGATTGAATGGGTGAAGGCAAAAAGACTGGAAAATACCAAAACGTGAGTGAAATCATTCAATAAATGGCGCTAAGAAAGCGGAGAGGCTAAGGATAATTTCTGTGTGCAAAAAAATTGCACCTACGATTATAAGAGGGTGCGCCAAACTTTTTCACTACGCCGACACGCAAATTGCATATACAGATGTGTGGCTAAGGATGGAGCGGGAGAGAGTCCGTGCCACACTAGAGGGACTAACTGGCCACATGCCTAGTCTGCAGCTATGAGTATGACTTACCAATCTAATAAAGCCGAATCCTTTAGTCTTATTCAGGAACACCTCAGATATTTCGCCATACTTCGCGAATAAACTTTTAAAATCTTCCTCAGTTGTATCAGGCGTAAGATTTCCCACAAACAGCCGGCATCTCTGGGTGAATTTCTTTTCTGGTTTTCGGCTGGATGTTTCTGCCATCATTTCATCATCTTGCGCATGTTGGCCCTGGCCGCTGTCATCTCTTCGATCGTGGTCACGTTGGTGATGACGTCGATCTCTATCACCTGAAGACATACTTGAGGAGCTCCGCTCCAAAGGCTTGTTTTCTTGTTTCGTGTCCGTGTGTGCCCGGTGCTCCTTGGTCATATCTTTAGGACTAGGCTTCGCGACGTTCGGTTCTTGTCCTGCATCACGACTTGGATTACCGCCGGCGCTGGTGGGTCTGGCGTTGGATGGGCTTGACAAACCTGAAGTACCACTCTGGTCTTTCTTCATGGCTGGTCGCTGCTGCGTATTCTTCCTGTTATCGTAGTTACTTCTTTGACCTCCCCTATAAGGACGATCGTTTCGACCACGATTCATATTCTCTAATTTTCTGTGGTAGATTAGTCTGAACAAAACGGACCACCGCACTTGTGCACTAATCCCAATCAACCAAGATGGCGACCAGAATGAGGCTCTGAAATAACGCACGTATATATGTACGCGACGTATGCTTGGGTAATAATGAATGTGTCCGATGTTCGTCACGTGTCTTTGCTGGGTGCACAGCACCTATGGTGCACTATTAAGACCACGTTGCGCAGCGCGGTGAGTGTCCTTACACGATTCGATAACAACACTGGCAGCGCTATGACAGTTGTTTGGTAGCGCAGTGTTGTTTAGGGGTGTAGTAAGTATTGTTGAGGTCGCCCTAATTAAAGTTTGCGCCCGAAAGAAAACAGTGTAAAATCCGTGAGATATAGTGTCATCTGGTAACGCAAAGGAAAATTATGACCTTGTTGTATTACTGGAAATTCTAAATTATGACTTCTAGGACAGTTTTCTTCTCTATTTCACGAGGATTTTTGTCTGGAAATTACCTTTTTTTTCAGAGAGAGAAAACAGACATAAATTATTTAAAAAAAGGGTAAGAGATAATATGGACCTAAAAATTAAGTTTAAATCACCTTAAATGCATGTTTGATCTTGTTTTCCTTTCTGTTATTTCAGCTTTATGTGTGCATGTACACCAAATCGCACTGATTGTCAATTGTTTTAAAATTTCGGAAGTGAGAGGTCAATTGTTTCCACGATATTTCTTTTTCAGGTCGGCAATTTTTGATTTCTACCAATTTACATGCTTGTAAATATTTTACAAAGGCCTTCTCAGAAGTAATTTTTGAGGAAGTAAATGAAAGAAGAATTATTACATATTCTCAATTTTTACACAGTTTTTCCTGTCCAAGGTTACAGAAGCGGTTAACTTTCAGGCGATATTAAAATGATTTTGGCGATCTCTTGTGATCATTCCAAAAGGCACGAAAATTTGAGCGACCCACCAGATCAGAGGGAAAACAAGGAGAGATTTTCTCTGCGGCGCTGCACAACACTCATCGCGCTGCGTTACAACCTTCACCGCGCTGTGAATCAGCTCTACCGGCGCTGCGTGACGTGGCCTTAATAGATCACCACAGGCACCGTGCAAGCTGCATGCTTTGTTGTCCGCTGCTTGCCTTTCTTACGTGAGGATTAACCTCGTTCTCATAGGTACGATCTTGCCGCGCCATGTCGTTTCCACCAAGCATTGCGCGATCTGAAGGAACGCTCACGTAGCCCATGGAGTCGAGGTTGGTTTAGGCCATTGACGCGTCTCCATTATGAAGACTGGAGAGGGAGCATCGTTCGCAGGCAGCCGCTAGATGGGCATGGTTAAGCTGAGGCGATAATGTCATGTGGAAGCAAAGTAAATGGAAGTAAGAAGTATTTTTTCCCGATTGCACCGTAGTCTCTGGATGTGGACAATGTCCATACTGATGATGCTCAAAGAAACCGACTTCGTGTGGGGACAGGCCCAGTGAAGTGTGCACAAAAAGAGCCTTCGAGTAATGGAAAGCAGTATGACACCAACTGGGAGTAAAGTCTGCATACCGGATTGGCCGTTCTACTCAGCGTTCTTAGGATAGGAACGATGTGTTGAGGCAAATGTAAATGAAACGCACCGTTTTGACTTATTTTTGTCTCGGGCCGTCGGCACAAAAGTCCACTCCAGTGTAACTTGACTGCCATAATTAGATTAGATTAGACATTTATTGCATCATAAAATTATAGAATTTTGTTGCTGTTGCATATCAAAAATACATATAGACAAAACAAAATATTATCCATCGGAGACGTACACAAATCAAAAGACGAAAATACGCTTGATATCCAAGACAGATATGACAATCTTTTTAAGCTGCAGCGGGCACATCATCTGAATTTTTCTAACATGTACCAACATTAGCATTGTGTGGTATTAAAAAGGTGTAAAAGTCGACTGTGTTCTGGAGAATGTCTATCCCGGCAGGTGTTTAATTGAAGAATTTGTGGAATAGTGCTAGTATGCAGGGAACACACTTTGTAGATGACAGCCTAATGAAGTCTACAAATCTCAACCTTAATTTTGTCGGAAACAAGAGTTGACGTTTTTTAATTCACCTTGTCACTGCTGTGTACATTTGAATTTTTTTCAATTAAAATTGATCTGTTGAGGTACTTTAGTATTGTTGCGCACCCGCAAATCTTGGAAGTCTAGCGCTCCCTAGTTTTACTCGTTCTCGGTCCTTGTATTTCTCAGGGTCTCTTATTTAGCGCAGCTATGCATTATGGACATGTAGCAGAGACGCTAATGTTGTATCAAGTTATTCATGCTGTACTCTGGCGTGATCGCGTGTCCTTTCACTCCTTTATCCTTGTGTTTTCTCTGCTCAGTTTTGGCATGTCGAAATACCCCTCCACAGTGGCTGCGTGGTTGGGTGTGGTAAGGTTCCCTGAACTGCTAATGTTCAGAAACCTCGAACTTGGTAACTGTCAATCATTCGCCATAGATGACCGGGTAAGCACTTTCACGCGACGTCTTATTCTGTATTTTACCTTTTTACACAGGACACTTAGATTCTTGCACACGACTCTAGCAAGAAGTCATGTGACCCTTTGAGATGGAAGATTTTCATTGGTTGAGCCTCTAGAATCCTATAAATAGAGCAGATTTTCCTTAGCTCGTCGGTCAGGTGCGGGGGACCAAACCCTTGTTGCGGAGCCTAACGTAGCGCGGCGGTTGGACCCTTTCCGCGAGAAGTGCGATAGTAACCATTCTTATGGCGAAGAAATGTAACCATATGAATGACCAGCTAGCTTAGCTTGGACCGATGCGAGAGCGGTACAAATTAGCCCAGGGTGCTGGTGAGAGTCGTAGCGACCCATCACCGTTACGTCCGAACCGATTGCCGGGCGAGATACCCCGTGTCCCTTGCCAACCTTGTCCTGCTAACTAGCTCAGTCCTCCCCGTCTCTACACTGAGCCAATGGTACACAGTGCGGCGATCTTATCATTGCGCTCAACACATTGCGGTCTGAACGGCAATGTGGTCGGTACATACCGGCGCTGGGCCCCGTCCAGCCCTTGCTAGTCACCGTGGTGGTTCGGGACAGCTCCCACCACGGCCCGGCCTGATGAGTGTAGCCTAGCTGTGCGATGCTACACAGACGTTCCGTACCCACTCCGTCCGACTTGCATTTCCAATGGTCCTGCCAAACCGTAGTTTAGTTACACTCGTATACAACTGCGCCTCTATAACTTTGCCTTTTGTGTGTTGTATTATGTTAAGCTACACCTTCTTCAAAACCACATTGAACTTTGACGAAGAGAAGTGAGAGCAATTAACCAACAAAACTGTTTGACTGTCACCAAAACCCTTGTTTCTCGTCCGTCTAATAATAAATTGTTGACCCCAAATACCACATCCCGTAGACACTAAAAAAAGTCCATGCTACCATCGACTTGATATTTAGGAACGCAACACTGGCGGCAGCGGTGGGTTATAAACTTATGCCAGTATACTGTTGTACATACAATACTACTCGACCACACTTATTGCTCGAATTTAGCTTTGTTCATGCAAGTTACAACACCGAGTAGCTTGAACGCGAGTCATATGCATGTGTACACGTACGGTACACGAAACTGTACGACTGCGGTTACTCTATATGCCCGAGTTACTATAGCAACCACTCCTTTGTGAACTCTCTGAACTACCACAGAACTCAGTGTACGTGCGGCCTGCACGTCCAGTGACCATGCCGAAGAAATACAGAAAATCGAGTCGGCTGAACGCTTCGGCTGCGGGAGATGACCATAACCTATCCCTCGAGTCAGTCACCCTGGCCGACCACACGGACCAGGTGGAAACTCTCAGGCAGCAACTTGACCAGGCAGAGAGGCGGGCTGCGGAAGCCGAGCAACGGGTCACGACACTGACGCAATCGAGTGCGCCCTCTACACTCCAGTCCCAGCCGGGGAAGTCACCGAATCTGCCGAGCGACTCCCCAGTGCAACCCAGTCTCACATCCACCGCCACACTTTCCCCTGTGAAAGACTCTGAGCCCCTTGAATCCTCAGTACCAGTTAATAAAATGGACAAATCCAGTAAAAACTTTGAAGTCCCTCTACCCAGGCAGGGTGAAATCAATAGAACTGGGGCATGGGAAGGTTTCATTCGACCTTTCATGGCCCTCGCAAAGGCCTGAGAATGGTCGATGGAGGAGAAGAAATTTTGTCTCATGAGCAGCCTCAAAGGCAAGGCTGCCGAGTTCGTTTTTTTACAACTCGACTCCTCCATCGTCAATGACTTTGATAAACTCGTTTCAGCGTTGGAAAGCGGATTCGCAGAAAGGTGAACCCAGAACGCATGGCTCACTCTACTTGGAGCCAAGAAACTGTCCCCAACAGACAGCCTGACTGAATATGTGGTGGACATCAGTCTCCTTGTCATGCGAGGAAACCTCACAGCCGATGCTGACACGAAAGAGAGTATTGCCCTACAACATTTCTTAAAGAGACTTCTCGACCAAAAAACCACATGACAAACCCCAAAACGCTGGAGGAGGCCAGAACAGCCGTTGAAAACTACACCAGTCTGCGTGAAAATCTCTCCACCGGGAAAACTTCCCTTCGCGTTCACGCAGTTCAACCTGCCGAAAAGCACGAAGGGGCGGCTTCAGCCACTGAGGCGACGGCAAAGCAGGAGTTCCTCACGCTGAAGCAGATGAAGCAGTTTTCTGATAACCTCGACCGCCGATTAATTGGCATAGTCAAGTTGATCAAAGGAAATGGGTCTGGCCAAAAGCCAAAAGCTGGATCCAAACCTACTGACAGAAACGATGCTAAAAACAAATCTTACTCCACTTGCTTCAAGTGTGGTGAACCGGGTCACTTCACTAACAAGTTCCCTGAGCTGGCAGCCAAGGAGGCTGTCGCCATTCAGCCTAAGTCGGAAAACTAACTGGGACCGTGCCGTCTCTCCTGGTAACGGTCCCACCCTCTGAACACATAAATAGAATTGCCCGAAAGCCATTCCGTGGCATATCTGCATTTTTACAGGTGCAAATCAACGGTGCAGAGACCGAACTCTTAGTCGACACAGGAGCAGCAGTGACTGTAGTTTCGTCAGAACTTTTAACCAGAATTCCTGACGAAAAGCGACCTGATC